AGCTGCGCGCTGTGCCTAGGCTTCCGCAATACAGTAGCACACACTTAACCGACACTGCCTCGTGCTTTTGTGATGGGGATCGCCCATCCCTTAATGGGGAGAACAGTGACTTACATAGAGATGGACCAGTTAGTAAGGGATGATAGAGGCTGGTATGTGAGGCACGATATGCTTGTGCTTCTGCTATGCAGTCACACACCCCAGGCTTATACTGCTCAGTGATGCTATGATGGACTGGGAAGACGGGAAGAGCAACAGTCACTTACAGGGAGGTGGACCAGATAGGATGTGGTGGGAGAGGCTGATACATGAGATAAGATATGCTGATGCTTCAACCACACACCCCAAGCTGCTTAATGTTTCTACCTCTGACGGGAGCTGGTTCTTAAAGGAGGAAAGAACAATTATTTGGAGACAGGAAGACCTAAGAGGATGTGATAAAGAAGGCTGATATATGAGTGTAATCGGGGCAGGTGCCAAGAAACATCTTAGTGGACATCTGAACTTAAAGATCTCTGATGCGCAATTTCTTACTGGAAGTCACATGGTCTGCTCTGCGCTTTTATAAGCCTCCTCTGGGTGAGAGGCATCTATCTATTCAGGTCCTGGAGGCAAATCCCAACTTCAGAAGAAGGGGGTGGAGTCTTGAATCCGTCTGTGAAAGGGTCTTCTTCAGCCTAAGTCAGCTCTCCACCTCTACCCTGGAAAAACGGAAGAAGTGTAAGGATATATTCCAAGAATGTTTACAGAATTACTGCCACGGTGTTTCTCTCAGTTCCCAACCCTGTGGTGTTATCACAAAATGCAACATGCAGGGTCGAGGACTTTCTCCTAGGAAGGCAGGAGAAGTACACGTCCTTTGAAACCGAGAAGGCTTGGACTGACAGACAGACAGATAGAGATAGATAGATAGACAGACAGATAGGTGATAGATATAGCTAAGTTGTAAGAAGGGAAGTCTACATGCACAGAGAAACACTGCTGTTGTCAACACACAGCTGGGAAGGAGGGAGATAAAAACTAAAAATCCGGACCGTCTTACCTGCTGTTCTCTGGTGTCCTTGGAATGTAATTAACTGCCCCAAATAAAATGAATCTTAGAAAAAGTACCACTCTTAGGGGTCATATAAGATACTTCTGCTGGACGTCATTGAGCAGAGAAAAAGATGGAAGGAAAAAACTTCCTCATTTGCAAGTTTTCTTACATTGTGAGGTTTCTAGATATAACTGTCGTCGGATCGTCTCTCCCCTCATCTCCATTGGACTGATGTTTGTCTTGTTTGCATTTAATTTTTCTAATGTGCTCTGTGTGTGTGGAGGCTTACCCATATTGACTAAAATTCTCTGAGAGTAGATTGGAAATAATGCAAGGAAGCCTACGTTTCAGGGGCTGCAGTGTGTGGTGGCTACTCAAATACAGAATGATAGGATAACACCTTACCAAGAAAGATGTTGCTTGTAGGATGGCAACTATGCTGCACTATGTCAGACATGAGGACTGCAGATCTAAAGAGGAAACAGCATGCTCTGGGTCAAGGACTTCCAGCCACATCAGCTTGTCAGTGTAGGGGAAATACGCAGAGGAGTAGGGATTCTGTTTCTTTAAAACCCAGATAGCCCTTGTTGCATTTTTCCACTCACCGCTGAATCTTCAGTTTCTGGTAATGTTTCTGTCATCAGATCCAAGAGAGAATGTGAATGATGATACAATTTAGCTTAAAACTCAGATAATAAATTAAGAAAAAAAAAAAAAAAAAAAACAAAGGGCCCTGATCTTTCTGGCAGCGAATAAAAGTCTCAAAGGTCTCTCAAGCATTGTGTCATATGAGGGTTTTTGGTACATTCTCAAAAACAAGGCCAACAGCAGAGAACAGAGAAAAAAAATATCAGGAGATATGTAAAGGAAAACTCAAGGACTCAATATTAAAGTAATTTTAGGAAAACAATTCTGTCCATCTAAGCATCACAACAAATGTTACAGAATGCATGGCCAGAGTTGAGGTAATAAAGCATCAAAAGGAAATGTGTGTGACTTAGTGCCTGTGGAGTTCCACACTGACAGGGTGTCTACTCGACACTCTGTAAACATATGTTCAAAGTGCAAAGTAGCATAAGCAGCAAGCAGAACATTTGCTCTTCCATCCACTTTCTCCTCAAGAGAACCGACGTGAGAGAGCTTGTTTCTCTGACAGAGTTAATGATGCGAAAGCCCCAGCATGCCCCTCTTCTCCCTAGGAGGATGACTTCTTCCCATTCAAATGTCTCCTGCGTTTTTGACTTCCCTGGATTCTGAAGCCCTGTTCATTTTAATGGCAGTAAAGAAACCATGGATCCTCAGTTGTTGAGAGCATTGATTTGGGGAGTGGGAGAACAGGATACAGATTACTATATACCCAGGCTGGCCTTAGGCTTGCTATGTCAAGGAGAAACACCATAGATTCCGATCTTCCCTCTACCTGCGGAGCACCGGGGTTACAGTGAACACTACCATAGCCACATTTATGGTGACTGTAGTTGATGTCCACCATCTCCTTTCTCAGCCCCATTTGACAGAAATTGTTAGCTAGAGTTTTCCTTCACCCATACTTGGAGATGCTATCTTGCCCACAGTGTGGGCGAGTCTCCTGTGTTTTTACATTTTTCACTTCTAAAAGACACACGGTGCTGTGGTGTACAAAGGATTTGTTGATAGTTGATGTCCAGGGTACATGGCTTAGTTTATAAAACAGTTGCATTGCAAGCATGAGAACATGCATTCCAGCCTCCAGAATCATCCAGGCCTGGCAAGGCATGGCAAGGCATGCCTACCACTCCAATGCTGGGAATGCAGACACCAAATGATCCTTTGCGTTTTGCTGGTTTATGGTTGAGTACAGTGTTCAATGAGGAAACCCTTTCTCAAAAAGTAAGATAGTGATCAATTTGAAGAAAAATTTGACATCAGCCTGTAGCTCTAAAAACACCCCCCCTCCCACCACACACACTGTATTGGTCCTGAGAACACCCCCCTCCCCCGCCACATGCACTGTATTGGTCCTGAGGCAGTTTTTCTGGGTTGGAATTAACATTGTTAGAAACAGGTGTAATCACTGGTTCTTCCGTGCTACAACTCCATCCTCAGAAAGCTGGGGGAAAGGCATTCTTATGTCACACGCTCTTGTGGGGATTCAAATTGACAACAGAGTTAAGGTTTAAATGAACTGATGCACTCAGTCCATATATGAGCTTGTCCTGTTCCTCTAGTTGCAATTACATGTCCATCACTATTCATATTTCAAGTGCTTCACCTCACCTTCTCTTCAGAGAGTCAACAGAGAGGGATGAGGGGAGGAACGTCCCATTTTTATTTAAAAATATTTTTATTTTGCTCACTCATTAAACTGTACTGTGTTTCCTTCTTCATCTTACCTTATCATGTTCAGATCCCACGTTTTGTCAGACTTTTCCATTCTGAGGAGCCATCCAGTTTTGTCAATATTATTTTCTTTATTATTTTTGGAGGTTGACTCAACTTATGTGATTTCTTTACATTAGTGATTTCTTTATGTGTTCTTTATACATGAAATCAGCTTGATCACCAGGTATAATATTTATCTTCCTCTAATTACTACTGATATTACTATTTTATTAGTTTCATATGTGTAAACAATTTGCGATCATATTTACCCCGTTACTCTTCTCATCCACCCCCACTTTTTGTTGACCTCCTTTTTACTCTCAACTGGTCTCTTTTCTTCTCTTGAATCATTTTTAAAATGACACGGTTGTTCAACATTCACGTTTTTGTATGTCATGTTTTTGTTGTTTATTCCATTGTGATCCTACATGGTATAAAATTTTTCAATTTTGCTTTGCATTTGTTAAGACAGTTGTATTAGAGTTTCTATTTTCTATTGCTGTGTGATGGGAGATGTCAGTCTGTAAATATGTTTCTCCTATTGGTCAATTAATAAAGCACTGTTGGCAAATAGGAAAGCAAGATAGGTGGGACTAGGAGACAAGGAGGATTCTGGAGGAGGAAGGAGGAGATTCAACTTGATTAGTAAGGTGGAGGCAAAGCAGAGACAGAGAGAGACAGAGACACACAGAGACAGACACACACACAGAGAGACAGAGACAGAGACAGAGAGAGGAGAGACTATGGGCTTCTGAAAGCACAAAGTCCACACCCGCTGTCACACCTTCTACAAAAAGGCCAAACCTCTTAATCTTTACAAACAGTTTCACCAGCTGGGCCTCAAGTGTTTAAACATTGGGACCATTGTTCTTCAAATGACCACAACTGTCTTACGGGACACAATATTTTAGAGAAAACGTTGCGGGTAACTGAGAAGTATATGAGCTCTGCAGTCACAGCATGGCGTACTCCGCACTCGCATATCATCATTTCCATCCATTCAGGACATCATTTTACATCACCTCACATCAGTGTGAATGTCTTTGTCAGTGTTTCTTGCAGACAGCCGTCACTTATCTTCATTTATTTTTTTTAATTTTATTTAATTTTATATAACAGTCCAATTAAATGAAAACAAACATTTATACACAATATTTGGGAATTTGGGCGTCGTTCTTTCCAAACTACTTCCTGCTGGTAAGGGGCGCTGTCTTGGGGGATTCGAAGAAGATCAGATATCCTAGCTGTAGTCTGTGGGGCTGTTTTGTCCAGCTGTTTTGAATGTAGGATCAGCTTATACTCTGTTTCAGGTGGTCTGGCGTGATCAAACCACATTAGTCTGGAAGGAATCCACATCTTTTCATTTTCTGTGGAAACAAAAATAGAAATCCTTTTCCCCAGTAACTTGTCCTTCAACTTAAATTTTGGAGTCAAAGCATTTTTTTTTTTTTTTTTTAGTTTAATATATTATTTTACATGTCGATCCCAGTTCCCTCTCCCTCCCTCCTTCCCTCCCTTTTTACCCTCTCTGCCCTCTCACATGCACTCTAAACACCCTCCCCTCCCATCCCCCCACCCCAATTCCATATGTAGGGGAATGCCATCCAATTGGGGTCATGTAGATCTGACAGGTCCTGTGAAGTAGGGACTAGGGCTTCTCTCCTGTCTCTAGATTAAGGGCAGTTATCCCTTAGGACAAGCCAAAGATCAGGAAGACCAGTACTGATAGTTCAACAGTCACACACAGCCTGGTCAAAGGCCGTGAAAATAGAAATTGGCACAAAACAAAAATTTAATAGTCATTTACTCAGTATCAAGTTTAGTGACAAAAGAAATGCATATCTTTCCTTCAGCATCCTGTTATAGAAGGGTTTCATCAACAGTAGGAGTAGCCATGGATCCTAGAGTTAGTATAAGGCTAACATTACAAGGAGTTGGGATATCCCTGAGTACAACAGTCAGTATTTTTTTTAGCAAGCCCCATACCACTCGAGTTCCACAAGACTGATTATTGGAGTTGGGATATCCCTGAGTACAACAGTCAGTATTTTTTTAGCAAGCCCCATACCACTTGAGTTCCACAAGACTGATTATTGGAGTTGGGATATCCCTGAGTACAACAGTCAGTATTTTTTTAGCAAGCCCCATACCACTTGAGTTCCACAAGACTGATTATTGGAGTTGGGATATCCCTGAGTACAACAGTCAGTATTTTTTTAGCAAGCCCCATACCACTCGAGTTCCACAAGACTGATTATTTACTCAACCGATTTAAGGTCAGGTGAAGAAGTGACAAAAATGATGGAAATAGTCCACACTAATAAAGATAAAGTTGTCTCTCAAAGCCACTTCTTTCTGACCAAAGCTGCTCGCAGCTTGCACTAGACTGTTTCTAGCTCTCCGGATTTTCGTGAAGAACCCCTCTCTGCACCTTCCTCCTCCTCGGGCACGTCCTGCAGGGCTCGCTGCAGAAACACCTTCGGGGTCTGACACTGGAACCTGCAGTGTCTGATGGAGCCAACCAGGAAGTAAATGATGGGGTTGGCACAGCTGTTAACACAGGATAGGAATGCTGAGATTTCAAAAACATTACAAGGGAAAACCCTATAAAGCTCCTCAATCCAATCTAAGAGGAACCAGTAGATCCCATAGGACAAGCCAAAGAGCAGGAAGACCAGCACCGTGAGGGCAATGGTCACATACAGCCTGGTCACAGCAATCCTGTGGGAGCCACAGAAGACCCTGAGCAGCAGGGCCAGGCTGGACCCCGAGAGGACCACAAGTAAAACAATCAACCAAGCAAAAATGATGGAATCCAGTCTCTTACACCAACCATGAGCAAAACCGTTAAAGAAGGTGCCACATGCCTCCGCTTGCAGGGCACTCAGTATCAGAGACAAGGTCCAGAGCAGGGCACACATGGCAGCAGATGTGTGTCTTGGCCTTCGACAGCGGTACCATATGGGCAACAGAGCAGATAGGCTGCGCTCAGTGCTAATGGCGCTGAGCATGCTCAGACCTGCGAGGTAGGTGAAGTTAAACAGGACATTGAAAAACCCAGAGATGAAGATGGAGCGGTACATGCTAATGATAACCTGGATGGAATGCACAGCGTTGAAGCAGAGGAAGAGGAAGTCGGCCCCAGCTAGGTTGAGGATGTAGATGGAGAAGGCATTCCTGCGCATTTGGAAGCCCAGAAGCCATAACACTATGGCATTTCCTGCCACACCAACCAGGGCAATGATGATGATGAGAAAATTCAGGGTAAATTTCGTAGTGTCACAGGATGTGGTTAGAATGTAGTCACTCCCATTTACTGTTGTGACGTCAGTCCTCCAGGCTGGGCCAGTTGAACCCGTGGCCAAGAGTTCTCCACTAGTTGTTCTGAAAAGAAGATAAAGGTATGAGCAAATGCAGTGCATGCTCTGGTTATTAGTACCCAAGTGCTAAATGGAGATTATTGACCCCAATTCATAACCAGGGAAATCAAGCAGTTTATCAAACCCTGAAAGTCCCTGAAATTTCTTTTAAATCCCACTCATAGTGACTCAGGCTATATGCAAACTGTGTCCTTTACTGTAGCAGAGGCTCCAAAGTAGCCTCTCAGCAGCTGAGGCTAAATGAGAGGGAAACAGGACTCTGAACTCAACATCCTGTCTGTCATGGGACTGAGGTTTCATCTCAGGTACAGGGTTATGGAATCTCCAGCATGACTGATGCCTGCCCCGAGTCACTGTGAGGGTGCCATCGAGTGAGAAAAACATGGAAATCCCGAGTGAGGATTGTATGCCTCACTTTGCTGTTGTGATAAAGTGCCGTGACCCAGACAGTCTACAGGTGGAAGAGTTTTGTCAGCATGGAGGTGGGAACAGAATGCTGCTCACTCACATCGCTGCTCACTCACATCGCTGCTCACTCACATCGCTGCTCACTCACATCGCTGCTCACTCACATCGCACACGGAAGCATGAAGGAGAGTGAGCAAAAAAATAGGACGCAGCAGGGGCCTCTTGCTCTCAGAGTCACCCCCTTCTTTCAGCAAAGCCAGACCACCTAAACTTTCCTAACAGTCCCACCAGCTGTGACTAAGGGTTCAAATATCTGAACCAATGGAAAACGTTCTAATTCAAGCTAGCTCCCTTCAAACAAGTCATGGAAAGGATGTCACTTATTAAGACTAATATGAGAACAGACAGACCCATTAGTCTAGATGCACTAAGTTTCCACTTCACATGTTGTAAACCACAAAGCAGGGAGGCTTTGGAGGCATTTCCTGCTTCCTGTTACCTATGTTAGTGTCCAGATCTCTACAGGGGTATAGGGATCAGTTGATAGATTTGCATTTAACTGATGAACAAATTAATCAGAAGCCTAAGAGTAGCTGACAGTTTACAAGAAATGTTGAGCAAGCATATAAAAAATTTTAGTATTAGGAACCACAGGTAGAAAATGAAGGATATGCAATGATTCCTTATTCTTTCAGAATACCCCAGCAGATAGGGCTTATATTGCCATGCTTCCAATGACCAGTAATATGACCATAATAATCACCAGCAGGTGTTTGAACACAGATTTAGGGATAATATTATGTGCCGAGTTGAATTGTGAAGACTCTTTAAGAGTAAAATGCAAATTTGGGACAAGGGTGATTCTGTCAATAGGACTTGATAGAGGCTACTACATCACAGAAATATCTATAAAGGAATAGAATGTTGTATTCTATGAGCTATGCTACATAATCCTAGATATCACACCATATTGGTTATTGTTTTACCCTTTCAGTAGTTAAAGTAAGAGAATCATCTGAGGGCAGATGCTTCACTTAACTTTTCATTGATTAAGGGCTTTGGATGACAGCAGATGTTCATGCAGAAGTCAGTTGGAAATAAGAATTACTCCACAAGAAAGTGAACACAGAAACTGTGTTCTAGCTACTTTCCTATTGCTGTGATCGAACATTGAGCAAAAGCAACTTGTGGATGAAGGGGTCTGTTTGCTATATACACTTCCAGGTCAAATCCATCACTGAGAAAAACCAGGACAAAAGTAGAGAGGAATGACTTGCTGGCTAACTCTGTGGCCGACCCACAGGCTCCTGTGTAAATCAGCTTTCTTGTATAACCCAGCATCACCTGCTCATAGAATAGTGTTACCTATAGTGGGACAGGCCCTCCAATATCGATTAATGATCAAAATAATTCCCCACATAAATGGCCACATGCCAATTTGAGCTAAGAAATTAACAAATTGAGGGTCTCCTGTCACATGACTGTAGGCTATATGAATGAAGTTGACAATTAGAGCTACGTAGAACTATCTAATTATTTGATCGGTTCATATTGATTTTCTAACTTTTCATCTCAGGTAGAACTATCACAATTCACATGAAATGCTGTAGTAACAGAGGCAGAAAGACACTGACAGTTCATACACTAAAAAATGTTTAAACACATCCCCCCAGATGGAGAGGTGGTAGAGACAACAAATTTAGATTTTTGGATTTCTATGAGGTTGAAATAAGATAAAAGGTATAAGACTTCATGGTGAGGTAGATGACATGAAGGCAAGAAAGTGTAACAATCAATGGCATGCAAAGACCAGTTAAACTCTATCAACATTGTACTAAGATTTATAAAAGAAAAAGAATCCTTACTAGTTACTGAAAACCATTTCCTTCCCCATGTAGCCACGCTGCTCTCTGCCCTCCCCAAACAACATCCAGGGATTTCCAGAACCTCCCTTTCCTGAACTGGCCTTACTGTTCCCTACTCCATTGATAACCCCTATTCCATTCATCTGGGACATCTTTCCTCCAGTCACCACTGAAGCTCTGTTCCTTTCCACTCTGTAGACGATCCTCCTCTGCAATCTTTCTTTTCTCACCTACTAGGTAGGCATGTCACTGTAATATCCCACAGGTCTTGTCTATGGGCTTCTCTTGTGTCTCATCTCCAAGTAGCCAGACTGAACATCTTGGTATCTCCAAGATGTCACATCCTTCTCATCGTATAAACTGCACACTTTTCTTGTAGCTCCCTGCCCTTTGCTCTTAGTAGGCTTGATCCTCCGTGACTCGCATAGCCCTCCTGTCCACATAACCAGCTTCCCAAAATCAACTGCCAGTTGACCATAGCTTTCTCAAAGTAGAACAACTGACTTGGAGAAGCACACCAGAAGGCAACAGAGGGCAAGACAAGCAAAGGCTATGCTGACCCTTTGATGGCACAGATAGTAATGGCTTCTCAAAGAAGAGTATGGATAGAGCTCACAGACCTCAATGCAAGTTCCACAATGAAAACCAAGTCTCAACACTATCATGACTTCATAGTCTCCTGAACACTGTACACACATACTCTGATGTTGATTTGGCAGAAAGAAAGATTGAAAAAGAAAATGAAGACAAAACTATTTCAAAATAAGGAAACAAAAGGAAAATAACCCTCACTGAAGGAGAGTGCTCAATACTTAATAGGATGTCAATATCCCAATGCATCCCCTCAACATCGAGAGTCATCACTCACGACAGGAAATAAAGATTGCTGTAGCCAGAGATAGTGGACATCTATAGTGTTTTCAGGCATGATGGTGCTGTACCACACATGAACTCATGGTAACTGTCACTGCATATAATAGACCTGCACAAGACAATGCCAGCCAAGAGCTAAGCGTGAATGAGAGAGGGGCTGATGGAGTACCACCCAGAAAATGGCTCCCGAGGTGAGGAGAATCACTTTCCTTCAGTGTAGAGAGGCTCTTCATGCTGTCGTATATGATCCACACTTATACACATATAAGCAGTACTAAGTGAACACAATGGTTTTCCTTTACAAGAGCGCACAGACATGGGAGGGGATGAAGCAGCATTAACAGGGAAGGAATTGGATGGGAGGTAAGATGTAATCCTTGGTTTTCAAATCTCCCATAGTCAAGTCTGATAGCCCACAAAGTTGCCAACAGGGTCTTTTCCAGTCTCTTCTTTAAGGAAGAATACCTGTGGCTCCTTGCATTCTCCTAAAGAGGAAGTTAGGAGTTCCTCATCTAAGAAAGGCAAATAACAAATTTGAGAATAAGTTATTGGAAAAACAAAACAAACAAACAACAACAAACACCTTACCTTTCCCACATTCTTCTTAATGGAGGTGGTAAATTGGTTTATGACAACGGGAAGAGACTGCCAAGGGTGTTTCTGTTCTAGAAAGGTGTCTACAGTAGTGAGGCCCGTGGCTTGAGGACGCCTTATCAAATGGTAAAGAGGCCTGAGGTTTCCTGTACGTAGAACTGTTGGCAAATGGTTGCCACTACCTTGAGTCATGTTCTTCATGAGATGACTCTCAACATTTGGTCTGACAAATACAATCTTTTACCCTCTCCCTAAGCCAACCCAATGGATCCCCTTCCCTGATAGGGCTTATAGTTTCTAAACTTCTTACAGTCAGAGCATTAGAAGCTAGTGCTGGGAGCTTGTGCAACTAAAAGCTACACATCCCATCTTGTTCTTCAAATAAGGACGGGCCCTAAGGGAGCTGAACCACATGTATTTATTAGCATACCAATAACACAGAATATCTTTATCCAACGGCACAGATAAATATTAATTAGAACGCCTTGATTTCTATTCTTGTGAACTGAAAAACTGGTTCCAGTTGTTCATCTAATTTTTGTCATGTTGTAATCATAGATTTTAATTGCAAACTTGCATTTTAATTCTACCACTATTAACAAAATGATGAAAAGGGTTCAAGATATAGTAGGTGACACAGAAACATCAGAAATGACATTTTTAAACGCATGCCATTAAAATGCTAAATATTCTAATATCAAATGTAAAGTAACAGGTAGAATATGAATGTATATAAACGGGAGCTTAGAGAGGAATTTCCAGGATTAAAACACTCTAACAAACATGGAGGACACCACTGAAGAGTGTAAAACTGAGTACACAATTAGAACAGTCAAAATTCACGCTTGAAACCCCAAATTCGTTAACAGAACGCAACGGAAAACTTTCAAATGGTGAGAAAACCTATGAAGAAATAAGAGTGCACATAATGTTATTCAATTACAAGAGCCATAACCATACACAATTAGAGCAATAGACTGTGCTAAAGAGAAATGGGTAAAAGAAACATTTGAAGTAAAAATGGTTGAGAACTTTGCAAAGTTATTATTAGAAATCAAATACATTACTAACAGAAAAGGAAAGACTAAAAATGTCTAGACACCGAATTACAAATTACTAAAGATGACAAGGGTTAAAGAAGAAATCCCAAGAGAAATATTTTAAAAACCAAATTAACCGTGGCACTCTGTTCACTTAAAGAATTCCCTGTAGTAAATCTACTCACTTAACAATAGGAGGAAGGAAATAAGGAGAGGAGAAAAAAGGAGGGAGACAGTGAGAGATGAGTGTGTTAAATCTGGTGGGTTGTAACAAAATCAGTATTAAAAAGGTAAATTTAGAGCATAGGGGTAGGAAAAAAGACCTAAAATAAAAAAAAAAAAAATTCTAACAGGGAACAAAAAGCTAAACTGAGCTTGAAATAAATAGGCAAAAAGCTATAGCAATGTAACCGACAACAGGAAATTAGTATACAAAATCAGAAAGCGGGGGGCGGGGGAGTAAAAGATGAACAGAATAGAAAAGACATGACACAAACTCATAACTAATCAGTGAACCTTGAATTCGGACTTAACAGAAGAAACGTTAGTTAAAACCTTGCAACAATACCTAGGAAAGCCATAGAGAAAACAATTAAAACAGTCCTACTCTTTGAGATCATCAAAGTCAGTAAACCTCCATGCAGACACTGCTCTGCGGTAGAGCACTTGCAAATAAGCGTGTGACATATATCACAAAACAAGAGATACCGCCACCTTCCCTCAGAAGGACTAACACCGCAAACACTGCAGATACCCAGCCCTGGAGAGGATGTGGAGAAGAGCAGCTCTCACACAGTGTCAGAGAATGCAGAACGGTGTGCTTCTTTAGAAGATTATCCCAATGTTTCTTACAATGCTAAACATAGGTCAGTCATAGCCACCAACAAGTATAGTGCTAAGTACATGTCCAATGAACTGAAAACTTAAGTTTACTTGAAAGCACAAGAGTTAATGATAGTTCCCATCGTAGTTGCCCAAACATAGAAGCAGCCAAAATGTTCTTATATTATGTATAAGTTTAAAGTGAACTATCAAGCTACGAAAAAGACACAAAAGTACATAAAATGCATATTAGTAAGACAATGGGGGCAGTCTGAGAAAAACTACACAATGCATGATTTCAATACTAAATGACACTCTGGACAAACCAAACTATATAGGTAAAAGTTCAGTGGTTTGCTGAGGCTGTGTAGCAACAGGGAAAAGTATATGCAGGATTAGTTAGAAATATTCCACTTATCCATTTTATGGTACATAATGACATCTTAATGACTTGTACAGCACACAATGAAACGCAGGGCTCCCCAATCTTCAGTTTATAATTAATTACATAAGTACCAGGGCACCAATTTTAATATACATTAAATTATTAAAATGCCAATGACGGGAGAAATTATGCATACATACTGAAGATGTGGGAAAGTATGTACATGCCTATGACCTATTGCCTAGGCAGCCTTCAGAGATTCCCAAAATGGTACATGTTATTGCAATGCTATTGTGCATCTGCTAGAACTAGACGGTAAGACCCTATTGTTGAAGACACCAACCATTTTGAATACATGACTTGGGCAATTTTGGTGGAAATGATCTAGAAGCTTCTCCCATACTGACTACTGTTCATAGTTTGGGGAGGTTCAATGTAGGTCATGGATGATAAAAGTAATAAGCTGTCCTTTCCAGCTGTACACCTTATGTGTCACAATTCCAATATGCTGTGAAAGATGTGCCATGGTGCTGCCATAGCTGTTATCAGAGCAAGCAACCACCTCCTGATTGGCTTTCAGACTCACCCCACAGAAGAGCGCACACTTGATACTGTAAACTTGGACAAAAACTTTGTTTAAGAACTCGCAGGTTTTGATGGAGAATATACTATAGATGTTTGCTTTGCACACATGTAGCCAAATTGCATCTGAAAGATGTATATTTGTGTTCAAAGACTAGTGATTCTCTCATCCTGGGTCAGAGAATTTTCCTTTTACACAGGGCTACAGTTAAAGACAAGACTCACTGACATTGAGAATACTGAGAATAAATGGCTGCCAAGTGTTCAACTCTAAATGAGACAGGTATTTCAGCCAATCTAAGCCTAAGGAACATTACATGTGTGGGGTAGAGAAGTTTGTGGGAGATTTAGGATAGACAAGGACAGGCATTAGAAAACACAGGCTACAGAACATGATGTGTCCTTTGCAATCACAAACAAAAGTCACTAGGGAAATCTGAAGCAAAAGAGTATTACAAACCAGGGTGTTTAAAATGGAAAAGACTCAGTATAACACACATGTCAGAAACATGTACAGTGACTGGTGCTCTTATGTTTTGTTGGGAGTAATTATAACCACACTTGGATAGAGTTAATCAGCTCTTTCTATAGCAAGGCATGGCTTGTAATCCAAAATACCAAGAAAAATGTAAGTATGTGCCTACACAATTCCATTAATAAAAAATTTTCAATAGTCAATAAATATGAAATAGTTAACCAATACAAAAGTATATTATAGAAATATAGAGCTTTATAATGGTGGTAGAGGGAAAGAAATGAAATGGATGAACTGCAAATGGGGCTGAGCACTGGATGCTAGGATTCAAAACTGCATACATCATGTTTCTAAATATGTAAGGAGAAGACCCACACAAAGTTGATGGCTGGTAAAGAAAGTAGAAGCAATGTTTTCCTCTAAGGGCAGAAGTAGTAAGGACAAAGGTTCAGAGTGACTTGCAGAGATAGAAAGCATTTTTTTGATTATTTTGAGCCATATGTGTGTACCCTTCACAAACCACAGAAAAACTGTATCCTAGGCCTCTTTTGCACATCAACCTCTCTTAATTATTCTAGTCTTAAAATAATTTGCAAAAATTAAGGAGAGATGTAAAATTTAAATGAATGTATTAATTTGCATGGTAAACACATGAGGGATTAGGGCAACCATGGAGAGAGAAAAAATCTGTAAATAATTTTAATTTGGCAAAGGGAGAGGAAAGGAAAGGGATGGACCTGTGTGTCTACTAGGGGACTTGAGAAATGAAACCCACAAAACTCAGCCTACCTCAAGCCTTACAAGTTGTTGCCTTATTTGGGTATCAGACTTAACCACACATTTGCAAAACCTAATGATGAAATAAACAAGGATAATGATAGAGCAAATCTGATTAATTGCACAATCTATTTTGATGCTGTGTGTTGAAATTCTGATATTGAAGACAAGATGCGCCCAAAGATGCATAGTGATATGGCTGTTGCAGCATAACTGACTGCATTTGGCTGGTTTAATGCCTCCTCCAAAGGATGGAATTTCATATCTGCTACCAATGCTATTCAAAAATTCCATATCTGGTGGCATCATAGGCCTTAGAGTAGTATCTGCTACTGTTATTTTGATAAGCCATCATGCTGTCAAGCTTCCCTCTAAGTACTTATGTTTCTATCCATAGACCTGGACATCTTTCAGTTTTTCTCAGAGAATCTTCTTTTTTTCCCAGTGGAAACAGCCAGTGGTTAGATGTATAAATAGACAATGAAGAGAATAAGAAAGTGAGTGCTGAGTTTTATGCCTGTTATCTATCTCTTGTTACCTATCTCAATACAGGAAGCATGAGGGAAAAAGGATATGGAAGAATGTAAGAGATTTAAGATTGGTGGAGTGATGTGAAACACTGTCTTCTGGAAATGATATATTTCACTTATGAAACCATAGTACCTGGATCTACCCGCACAAGGTCAACCCAGCTGAGATTCTTACACTGGTAAAGTAATTTGTTGCTAGTCTTCACACCTTACTGAGGAGCTATTAGCATTGGCAATTGATGGAGGAGAGAAAATTATTATTATTGGTGCACCTGGTAACTGATAGGATGTCCATATTCCAGTGTGTGGTTCCCCACCCATGCAAATATGTATGCAGGCCAGAGCTTGATATCAGGTGTCTTCCTTATCACTCTCCACCTTATGTAGAGAAAAA